TGTCTTCATCTGGGTTCTAAAAGAGAGAGAGAGATTTACTTCAAGACAATGACTCACGTAATTATGGGGCTGGCCAGTCCCCATCCATGGGTCAGGCAGCAGGCTGGAGACTCTGCTGCTCCTGGAGTCACAGGCTGGCGACTCCAAAATCTGCAGGTCAGGTGGCAGGCCGGAGACTTCTGCAGGTTAACACCCCAGGAGCTAGAGGTCAGGTGATGTGAAGAGTGCAGGGTCGAGAGAGAACAGCCACTGATATACTGGGGGCAGGCCGCACCCCCAAGGAAACGCCCCTTTCAACTGATCGGCTAATTACATCAGGACACATCATGGAAGGTGATTGTATTACATCACATTATGGAAGAACACCCAGTCCAGTCTCTGCCAAACCCCTGATAACCACACACTAGCCAAGAGGACACATAACATTTAGCATCACAGCAGCCGTAAGTACAACAGAACGAAACGCTGCCTGGTCCTGCACCGTATGCATGATCATTAGTAGGTTTGACTCCACGGTAACCACTGTGTATCCTGAGTGCCTTCCAACCTACGGGGCTCATCCTCCAGCACTGTACCAAAACCCAAACCCGTTGCTGTTGAGTCAATTCCAACTCATAGCGACCCTACAGGACAGAGGAGAACTGCCCCATAGGGTTTCTAAGAAGCAGCTGGTATATTCAAACTGTTGACATTTTGGTTAGTAGCTGAGCTCTTAACTAGCACTATATTGAACAATATTCTGTTGTGATCCATAGGGCTTTGGTTGGCTAAGTTTTGGAAGTAGATTTCCAGGCCTTTCTTCCTAGTCTGTCCTAGTCTGCGGAAACCTGTCCACCATGGGTGACCCTGCTGGTATTGGAAAAGCCGGTGGCACAGCTTCCAGCATCACAGCAACACACAAGCCACCACAGTGTGACAGACTGATAGACAGGTAGTGGCACTTTTATTTCCCCTCCTCTCAGTAAGGAGTGCACTTTGCCTGAGCCAGGCCTGGACAGGTCAGAGAAGTGACACCCTGGGACAGAGAGATACCTGCTGGAGTCTGAGCTCCTTGCAGACACAGGCCCTGCCCTCCACATCCTTGTATGCATGGGTGCAAATGGGCTTCCACATGCCTGTGTTAGATGGGAGAAAAGAAAGGAAGCAGCAGAAATCAGCTTGTTTGATGGAGTCCTAGGAAAACAGGGAAGCAGTCAGCTCCCCTAAAAAAGCTCCACCCACTGGAAGAGTTAGCGTAAAAATCCAGATGGGGCATCTTAGCTCAGTGGGTGTGAACGCGGGAAATCAGCTCTAAAGGCTGAGATTTCCTAAAACTAGGAAAAAGTATACCCAGATCCACCTGCAGGCTGAACACTCAGTGCAGGATAGTTAACTGAGGCACACCACGTGAAATGCTCAGCCCCAAAGCAGAAAAAAACCAAACCTATTGCTACTGACTCTATTCTAACTCATAGCAACCCCACGTGACAGCAGAACTGCCCCATAAGGTTTCCTAGGCTGTAATCTTTATAGGAGCAGATGGCCAAGCCTTTCTCCCGTGAGCCCATGGGTGGGTTCGAACTGCTGATCTTTGGTTAGCAGCCCAGTGCTTAACCACCATACACTAGGACGTTTTTTTTATGCTTAGCCCAACCAGACAACCAAAGCAAACCCCTTGCTGTTGAGTCGATTCCAACTCATAGCGACTCTATAGTGCAGAGTAGAAATGCCCCATTGGGTTTCCTAGGAGCAGCTGATGGATTCAAACTGCCAGTCTTTTGGTTAGCAGCCAAAGGCTTAACCACTGCACCACCAGGGCTCCATGCTTAGCCCAGTACCTGGCAAATGGTAAAAACTCAGTAAACATCCAGTGCTATTGTTGTTACTGATTATTGTGATGTGTTATATTGCATTTTCTGTTCCACTTCATTGATGCAACTTTAGGTGAGGTTTAGGGGTGGGTTCACCAGGAAGCACAGTACGAGCTGGCTTGTATTAAGCAAGGTACCCACTGGCTTAATTATATTTACTTGCTAACCTGTGGTGAGCTATTTCCCATGGGTTTCACCACGTCTTGGATGTGGCAGGGACAGGTGAAATTGTGTACTGCAGACTGGTGGGAAGGCACAATTGGGCCCGTGCAGACCTTGCTTATTGGGTAACCCAGCCCTGATGAGGGTGCACGCAAGGAGTGGTCCGTAAGGAGGAACACGAACTGACCTATGGCTTAGTACCTGGGTAGCACAAATGGTTAAACACTCGACTACTAGCTGAAAGGCTGGCAGTTCAAACCCACCCCAAGGCACCTTGGAAGACAGGCCTGGTGATCCACTTCCAAAAGGTCACAGCCTTGAAAACCCTATGGAGCAGTTCCACTGTGCATGCACAGGGTCCTCATGAGTTGGAACTAACTTGACCAACAACAGCAGCAATAACTCTAGGGATACCATGTGGAGCTGGGACAACTGGTTTGTTACTTAGCATCAGGGACACAGTGCTGAGAAGCCTTGTTCTCTAAAAGTGTTGCTGTTTGAATCTTCAATGTTTGAAATCATAGCAATAAGAACCGTACATCCCGCCACTGCCTACAAGATCTGAGCCACGTGGGTCATTTGGTCACAAAGAAACCTTGATTCCCAACCCTGATGCAGAGCTTCAAATACGGGTTCTTGACAGTGCATTGCAGCTTTATCTCACCTTTGTGATCCTGAGCCCCCTTCTCAGGCCAGGCCGAGTGTTAACCCCTTCCACACAACCTTGCTCTGCCTTGAGTCGATCCAAGGCAGCTTCATGAAACCTCACCTAAATCAAACCATGTCCCCAATCCTAGAACAGCCCTGCTATTCCTTTGTTTGGAGCCCTGGTGGCACAGTGCTTAAGAGCTCCACTGTTAACCAAAAGGTTGGCAGTTCAAATCCACCAGCTGCTCCTTGGAAACCCTATGAGACACTTCTACTCTGCCCTGTAGGGTCGCTGTGAGTCACAGTCGACTCGAGGACAAGTCTGCTGTCTATTCCTTTGGTTACGTGTCTTTCAGTCCCTCTGGTGTATGTTCTCCCTTACTGCTCCAGTCAATAACCTAACTTTGTTGGACAACAGATTTGTTCCTGGTGCCCTTTGGCTATTGGGCTTTATAAGAAACCTACCTTAACTTTGGTGAAGGGTAAGACAGTACACATACTGGCGAAGTCAGCACAACTTGACCAAGGCAAAGTCATGGAAGCTTCACAGACACATCCAGACTCCCTGAGGGACCAAATTACTGGTCCAAGGGCTGGGAACATGGTCTCAGGGGACATCTAGCTCCACTGGCATAACAGAGTTTATAAAGAGAATGTTCTACATCCTAATTTGGTGAGTAGCACCTGGGGTCTTAAAAGCTTGTGAGTGACCATCTAAGATACTCCACTGGTCCGACCTGTCTGGAGCAAGTGAGAATGAAGAAAACCAAAGACACAAGGGGAAGATTAGTCCAAAGGACTAATGGACCACAACTACCACAGCCTCCACCAGACTGAGTCCAGCACAAGTAGATGGTGCCTGGCTACCACCACCGACTGCCGTGACAGCGATCACAATAGAGGGCCCTGGACAGAGCTGGAGAAAGGTGTAGAACAAAATTCTAACTCACAAAAAAAGACCAGATTTACTGGTCTGACAGAGACTAGAGAAACTCCAAGAGTATGGCCCCCGGACACCCTTTTAGCTCAGTAATGAAGTCGCTCCTGAGGTTCAGCCTTCAGCTAAAGATTACACAGGCCCATAAAACAAAACAAGACTTAATGGGCACACCAGCCCAGGGGCAAGGCCGAGAAGGCAGGGGAGGGCAGGAAAGCTGGTAATGGGGAGCCCAAGGTCAAGAAGGGGAGAGTGTTGATATGTCGTGGGGCTGGCAAGGAATGTCACAAAACAATATGTGTATTAATTGTTTAATGAGAAGCTAATTTGCTCTGTAAACCTTCATGTAAAGCACAATAAAAAAAAAAAAAACCTGCCTTCATATACTTATAATCCCATCTCTCAGAACGGTGCACAAATTATGAATTTCCAGCTCAGTGAATTTTCAACGAACGGAACACACCTATTAAGCCAGCACCCACATCAAGAAACAACACAGCCACGTTCTCAGGGATTCCTGGAGCAGCTCAGTTCTGCAGGAGTTTGCACTAGACTGATGGAACGCATCAAAGCTTTACACCTGCGCCGCCAACACCGCAATCAACACGTGGCGATGGAGCCTCTGAAAAGTGCCAGTGCCCTGCGCTGAAATGGTAACATTTTGACATATTGAGTCCAATACACATATTATTACAGTGAATTTCACTGCGCCCTTTTACCCTCTTGGCGTAGCTGCTGGAAAAGGTAAAACGACGTCAGTGGCTCGCGGTGCATTTCTATGCGACGGTGCCGCCGCCGCCCTCCTGAAGCCACTCGTCGGTGCACGTTTCGTCTGCCTCCGCCACCAGACTGGGAGGAACGTGGACAGTGACTGGTCCCAGGCTGCGCCCCCTGCCCCACCCCAGGGCTGCACGCGGGCTTTCCGACCTACCTGCTGAGCAAAGGGGTGATCCCAGGAAGAAGAGAACACGGGGGGAAAGGCGGAGCCCCCGACCCGGACCCTGACCCGCTGAGCAGGGGGGCCGCTCCCGACGTAGGCGGAGGGAGACTCAGTGTGGTCCGCGGAGCGAGGGGCGGGGGGTGGCCCGTTCCAGACGCCCCTCGTCTCGACCCCAACCCCGGCCAGTCTCAGGAGCCCCTCCTCTCGAACCCAACCCCGGCCCGCCCCGCCCCCTCAGGTCCCCTGTGGTCCTCCCACCTCCTCTCTCCCGGGCCCGCCCCCTCCTCTCGGCCCCGCCCCTCCTCTCGGCCCCGCCCCCGCTCTCGGCCCCGCCCCTTCCTCCCGGCCCCGCCTCCTGCCTGGCGCAGTGGCCGGAGTCCGCGGTTTCCGGGCAACCTGAGGACGCGGGACTGGGGCGAACCCCGGAGACCGGCGAACGCCGGCGGCGGCAGCTTGCGGCAGGAGGAGGGAACATGGCCTCGGCGGAGGCGCTGGTCGAGGCCAACGCAGAGGACGAGGATGAGGAGGAAATCACGGCTGCCACGCTGCGGGGCCGGCCGCGGCCGCTGCCCATCTCGGCGCTGTCCGCCTTCAGCTACATCCCGCCGCGGCGCCAGGACCCCAAGGAGCACAGCTATTACTACCGCCAGGGCAAGGTGGGCGAGGGGTTGGGGGAGAGGGAGGGGACAGGATGAGCGTGGCGGGGGCGGGGCGTCTAGACCCCAAGGAGCACAGCTATTACTACCGCCAGGGCGAGGTAGGGGCGAGGTGGGGGCAAGGGGCCGGGGGCGGGGATCTGGAGGGCCAGGGGCAGAAAGGGGAGGGGGGGTGCCGCATAGCAAGCAGGGCTGGGGGAGGTGTCAGGGGTGGAGCTGGAGGGAGACAGATAGAGGATAGGATGCTCAGCGAGGGGGGGGACAGGCGCTGCACCCCAAGGAGCTCATCTACACTATTGCCAGGGCAAGGTGGGCCCCGCGGGGAGCGAGAAGGGGCTGGGGTGGAACCCAGGGCTCCGCTGGGGTGGGAGGCGGCAGAGATGAGTTGGGATGCTGAGCAGGGAAAGGAGGGAGAGGGCCGAGACGCCTGGACCCCCCAAATCCACAGCTGCGACTACCTGGAGAGCAAGGTGTTGCCTCCCCAGGAGGGGGGCGGAGCCGGGCGTGGGGGGAGGGGCGGGAAGGCTGGGGACTGCTCACGCGGGGTGGAGGCTGCACAGCGCGAAAGAGGGGCCTGGGAGGGGCGCGCAGGTCCGGGTACAGGCGACACTCATCAGGGGAGGGACAACCCAGCGAGGTGCTAGGACACAGAGGGGATGCGCAGAGGGACAGGAGGGACTAGAGGAGAGAAACAAGGCCGTTTCCACGGAGGGGTCTGGACTGCCGAAGGGGGCTCGCGGGAATCCAGGTGCACAGTCGGAAGGGGAAGTGGGCGCGTGACCCCCTCTGCTCTGTGTCTGCAACCCGCGCATGGGAGTGTGCCAGGAGGGTCCTGGCAAGGGGACCCTCTGCCTACTTTCAAACCTAAGGGGGGAGGTGTGACTAGCTGCCCAGGGAGGTGGATTCGGGGTGGTCTCCGATTCTGACTTGGCCCTGGGCGTCGGTGGGAGGGCCCTGCAAGTCTCCAAAAGGCTTTACGCCCAGCGCCTCCCAGCGGAGAGAGGAGGAGGAGCCGTCCATGGAAAACGGAGCGGTTCTGGGCTTGCGGAGTGTATTGCTTTCTCCTCGCCCTTGTTTCCAAATGTCTCCAGGGTGTCTGTCAGTCAAGATGCAGGGCCACCATTATTAAACAAGAGCACTGGTGGGCCCCAGCCTGCAGGGATAACTCAGACCAGGCTTTTCTTGCCTGTTAGCCACCCTGGTGGATTGAAAGGCCCAGGAGAGGGGGAGTGATGAGGCACGAGAAGGAAGGAGGCCTTTCCCTGGTGGTGTACAAGATATTCCCACAATGCATCCTTGCCTTCCTCCTCACACCCACCATCAGTAGAGCCCAAACAGGTCCAGGTGCAGGTCAGCTCAGCGCTCTTCGGAGTCCTTGCTCTATGGGGGCTGGAAAACTTCAGTTTCTGGTTTGGGGAGCACCAACCTCAGCCTGCTCCTGGGAGGACCTCCCGTCTCTTAACAGCACCTCTCTGGGTGGCCTTGAGCAGTGTGGATGCAGAAAGGGGAGCGCAGGTGCTGCCTGGAGGTATCTGCCTTCCAAGCCCCTTTTGCAGACTCTCTGAGGCTGGAATATCCTCTCGATATTAAGATGGTTGGGGGTGGGGGGATTTAAAGCAATGGTTCCCAGCCTTCAAGGATCTCTTCTTTTTCTCCATGCGCAAAATGTTTTGAAAGAGCTCTTATTTGTAAATAATTCCATTTATTAAATGAATTTACATTTTAGGTACTGTTGATGTTAGTTGCTGTCAGTTCTGACTCCTGGCGACCCCATGTGTGTGTTACAGAGTAGAACTGCTCCACAGGGTTTTCTTGCCCACCTAGGGACATCCATTTGAAGTATACCATATGTATATTACTAGCGGTTAATTTATGGTCAGCATGAGAAAACCAGCCAAAAAGCAGGGACTCTTGATGTTTTAAGTGGGTCTGTGTTGTTTTCCAAGTCGGAATCGACTATCGACGGCGACGGGTTTGGTTTGGGTTTTAGTATGTTGTTTTAAAGAGTCCCTGGGTGACACCTGACTACTAGCTGAAAGGTTGGTAGTTCAAACCCACCCAGAGACTCCTTGGAAGACAGGCCTGGCAATCTGCTTCTGAAAGGTCACAGCCTTGAAAAACCCTGTGGGGCAGGTCTACTCTGCACATGTGGGGTCGCCATCAGTCGGAGTAGACTCCATGGCAGCTAACAACAGCATATGCTGTTTGGCTGAGACAGAACAAAATGTGTGTGTCAGTTTGAAATAATGAAAACAACTCACAATACACCATTTTGGTTTTTACTTTGAGAGGGCCTGTTAAATACAACCTTGAAGCTATTGGGAAATAAGCAAATAGGGACAAGATACACCTCTGTATCGACGAGAAAGGCCAGGAGGAGGCTGCTGAGGACACTGGGCAAATGGCCTTGCAGATAGAGGATCTCAGAATTGGCAGATTTTCCCACCCGGGAAAGCAGAGCCGCCCCAACCCCTGCGGCCAGGCAGTAGGAAGGGGAGAAGGGTGGAGCGGCCTCCACCCCTGCTGCCAGGCACTACGAAGGGGAGAAGGGCGGAGTGGAACGTGGCAGGCTCAGTGTGTTCTAAGTTTACCAGTGTGGTCAGCGGCTCCACCTTCCTAGGCGGAATCAAACAAGGGCTGAGAGATGCGGGTAGAGTGAGTGACCGGGCCTTCATCACCTGGGTGGAGTGCAGGAGTGGGCAAGGAGCCCACCAGAATCCAAGGTTGGCACATTAATATGGCCCACCACCTGATTTAATCAATAAAGTTTTATTAGAATACAGCCAGGTCTGTCTAATAAAAACACATGCAGACTTTGATAGGAAGAGGCTTTATTCAGAAATAAAAAGGAGGGGAGAGTATTGTAACCTAAGGAAGGGGACTGTCATGGATTGAATTGTGTCCCCCAAAAATATGTGTATCAATTTGATTAGGCCATGATTCCCAGTACTGTGTGATTGTCCACTATTTTGTCATCTGATGTGATTTTCCTATGTGTTATAAATCATGCCTTCATGATGTTGATGAGATGGGATTGTGGCAGATATGTTAATGAGGCAGGACTCAATCTGCAAGACAGAATTGTGTCTTGAGCCAATCTCTTTTGAGATATAAAAGAGAGAAGTGAGCAGAGAGACATGGGGATCTCATACCACCAAGAAAGAAGCATCAGGAGCAGAGCGCATCCTTCGGACCCAGGGTCCCTGTGCAAAGAAGCTCC